CAGATTTTTTTAACCGTTAAATCTGTATATTTTTTAAGTTTTACGTGATTTTATGTAGATTCGATAAACGAAAAATTGGTATGTTGTTTACCGAAAAATGTCTCAAAAATATAAGATTGCAAATGAAAAGAAAAAATCAAATAACATATGAAGAGAAACAAAACAAGCCCGATGAAAAAAGAAAAGAAGAAAAAAATGACGTATACAGGTATAAATAAAACTCTAAAAACCAATTAAAAAATTGTAGATGTTGAAGCCTCTCCAGGTGAACCAATTTGAAAAGGTTGCACCGTCCACAAGCAACAATGAAAAAAAAAAAGAAACGGAAAAAAACATAATAGAATTCTTTCAAAGAAGGATTCTTTCAAACAAATGAAATCTAGTCCTGGCTCTACTAATTAAACTTCGATCAACACATGCAAATCCTTTCAATTTTTGTGCCTGAACATTAGAGATTTGTGCTACAATGGGATGTAAATATATAAATCTTAGGAAGCGTAATCCAGCCAACGGAGAGAGCCAAGTCCTTAAAAAAATAGTTACAAAATGGAGCAATGCTAAGGACATCAACACATATTCCAACTTTTATGTACCAACTGATATAACATGTGAGTTGTTATCTTTGAAATATAGTTAATTGATGAGGCATAAGAGATTGACAACCCTACATACATGACCCTCACGGTACGTTAACATTTACATTACTGAAATTACTTAAATTTGCGGAACATTTGTTTAAATATACAATTAAGTTAAATTACCACTTTCCTTTGTTGCAACAAAATTATAACTTATATATCATATTGATATATTCATCATACTTACATTAAGTCTTACTTTTTATGTATATTCTAATAGTCATAATTAGTAAAATATAAGGCGATATTTTTCAGAAAAATTTTTAACTTAAATTATATTATTTAATTTTAAAATTTTCTCGATCATTACAAGAGAAAGCTTACAGAAGGTTATACATCTTAAGAACATTTAACCACCCAAGTTTCTATCAAAAGTCCTGATTTTCAAGCACAAATAATAATAATAAATAAAATCCAAGGTCTTTGTTGAAAATTACGTGACAATATTAGCAAAGCAAGACAAAACGATTGTAAATGTATATTTAATAAAAAAAAGTTGAAAACCAGAAAGAGAGAATGGAAGGTAAAATAGGAGTTGTACCAAGAGAAATAACGAAAATAGGAAAATGTTTGGAGGGAGAGACTTATTCGACCACAAAATAGAAAAAGGAAAGGAAGAGAGAGACAGGTAATATAATGATAGTCGGGGCACAAACGGTTATATGAAAATTTTAATGTGGGTCACAATACGATAATACGACTTGAAAATGGCACGAATTTTGTGGGTTAATATTGAGGAAAAAAAGAGGTTCGGGTCAGACATTGGTAGACTTGAATTTGACACGAAAAACACGGATTAATTTCGGATTGGACCCGCCTAACCTAAACATGACATGAAACTCGTAAAAAACTAAAAAAAATGTTTTTTTTCATAACATATTTTAGATTTTATTATGAACTTGAGATATCATGATTGTTATACTGAAAATCTTATACTATTATTTGCTTAATTTTGATAGATGTTATTGTATTAGAGCGTGTTATGAATTTTAAGTTGTTTCTAATGTGTAAAAAGAAAAATATATAATTTTTGTGTCAATTTCAGGTTCACAAGCCAATTTCGTGTCACGAATTATTTTCGTGTCGTGTCGTGTCAACCCGTAAAGTATAGTTTTGTGTTCGTGTTGTAGTTTTTAAAAAATTTCGTGTCACGAGTCATGTTTAGGTTAACTGTAAATTTAAAAAAAATGACCAAAACACGACACATGACACGAATTGCCACGCCTATATAGAAGCATGAGTTTAGGAATTTCCATAGGCATTTTTTCTTTTCCTGCAGTTGGAGTATGAATTAAACTAAAATTTTAAATTAAAATAATAGTACAATTATATGTTTTGGTATATTTTTTTATAACTATCTTTGCAATACACAAAATTATAAACATGTATAATAAGTTCTTTTCTGAATTTGGTACTTAAAAATTAAAACTTGAGGGTAACTGAAAGTTTTTTTAAAAGTCTTATATAAATGTCATAGTTATAAAAGTTAAAGGGGAGCAAACTAACTAAAAGTGTTTAAAAAAACTGTTGGGGAAATATTAAAGCAAAATGATAGAAGATACAAGACTAGAAAAACGATAGGTGAGCATGCGATCGAATTTATCACCACAAAAGGCACAACTCGTCATTGACTTTTTGTCTATATATAATACCTAAATAAATGAAAGGTGAGTTTGTGATCGGAATTTATCACTATAAAGATACAAGTCAAGTTATTCCCTAATTCCCTAAATTATAAAATAATGTTATAGGACACCGATAATGTTTAGCACTATTTATTAATAGATAGTGGGTTCCGTAGTGTGAGACCCATATAAGTGGGACCTACCGTCTATTAGTAATAGTGCTCAACACCGATAATACCTTTAAATATTTTTCTTACTTACGAGGAAGAAAGAAGGGTATTTTGACATGACATATACTCTTATAATCGTATTTTTCTATGAGTCAAGCTTTACTTGTCCGAATGAGATGTTGGTAGGAAATTGAAAGTCTAATGAAGCTAAACACCTAGACCAGTCAACCTAGCCAAAATGTGACATATTGACTTCTTCAGCAATTAGTTTGGTAATTGTTAAAAGGAAAAAATAAATGAACAAAATTATGAGGATTAATTTGGCCACATTTAGACATTAGTAGTTCCAATTTTGTATGAATTTCTACTTTACTTATAACAAAGGAAAAGCATGAGTAAATATAAAAATAAAAAACAAAGACAAAAACAAAAATAAAATAAAAAAACAAAAGCTAAAATTCCTAGTTATTTTAAATAACTAATGTGTTTGTGCAATGGACTTTCAAGACGTGCAAAGGGCTTTTAGAACTTCCAGAAACAATAAATTTCATCCCAATGCATTCATGTTTAGTTTTTGACACTAGTTAGAAGCACACAGGTGTATATTCAGTTTATTAATTTTTTGAATATGAGAATCTAAATTTCTTTAAAAGTTTTGGTTCTTTTTTTATTTATTATTCTCTTAAGAGTTTAATTTTGCAAAATATATATTTAAATAGAGCACATTTAAAAGAAAAAATAGGTTTTTATTGCAACAAATTACCCATTGAGTAATTTATTGGGTACATATAGAAAAAAATAATTGAGTGTTTGAAGAAAAAATGTTTGGATAGGGCGAAGAAAAAATGTTTGGATAGGGCAATGATTTAGAAGAAGTTATTTGAATAGGTAAATCATAGAAAAATAGTCACGAGGATCCCATTTGAGAAAAAATATTACTTGTAAGAAAAAATGTTTAGGCAACCACACATTTAAAAAAAAGTTATTTGATAATACACATTTCAAAATGAAAATATAAGATTGCAAATGAAAAAAAAAATCAATAACATATGAAAGAAAGAAAACAAGCTCGACGAAAAAAGTAAAGAAGAAAAAAAGTGAATGAAATGACGTAAGCAGGTATAAATAAAACTTTAAAAACCAATTAAAAAAATTTTGTAGATGTTGAAGCGAGGTGAACCAGTTGAAAAGGCTGCTATTGGAGTCGATGTAGCCATAGAGAAGCTGCTTCTCATGTCAAGGATGATCACACGGTCGGCATCTTCGTCGCACTCGACACCGTCCCAGAAGCAACAATGAAAAAAAAAAAAAAAAAAAAAAACGTTAGAGAATTCTTTCAAAGAAGGATTATTTCAAACAAATGAAATCTAGTCTGGGCTCTACTAATTTAACTTCAGTCAACACGTGCAAATCCTTTCAATTTTTAAGAATTGTGCTACAATGGGATCTAAATATATAAATCTTAGGAAGCGAAATAAAGTCAATGGAGAGAGCCAAGTCGTTGAAAAAATAGTTACAAAATGGAGTAATGTTAGGAACGCCAACTCAAATCTTAATTTTTGTATACTAACTGATATGACATGTGAGTTGTTATCTTTGTAATATTCTCAACGAGCCATAAAGGCCAAATCCTTCTATATCGCATCAGTGTTTCATCAACTCAAATCACAATTGCATGAATCAGTAGTTAATTTGAGGCTGGGCGATAATGATTGAATAAGTATAAGCCCTTGTTTGGAATGCCATAAGAGTGTCATATGTTAGAGATAATTATTAGTCTTGTGCGGTGCTATGATTTCATATCCTTAATAAGTTTCATTACATTAAAATCTTGACATTGCAGGGTCTCCATTATTGAAATATTATTACTGATGCATGAGAGAAATTAATAATTAATTTATGAAATTTCACTGGCAACATAGGAAATAAATGATATGATTAATTTTGAACTTAGATAATTTAGAATATTTATTTTTTTGTCATTTTTTATTTTATTATTTTCATTTTAAAATCCAATCATTTAAATAATCTTTTAAGCTGACTAATTTTAGTACTTAATTAAAGTTGATGCAATTCTCATAGGACCACTTCATACTTACTTATTATATTATAATTCTTGTTATGATATCGTCACTTGCGATTTTCCACAACAACCAGATTAAAATGCAAGAAACCAAATCAAATTTGGTTGGGGCCACTCACACACACACACACACATTACTTGTTAGCATAATCAGTAGGTCTTAAGTTTTGAGCATTTATATAATTGACCAAAAGTCTAATCAAGAATTCCATGAGAAAATGAAGAAACAGTAAATAGAAAAATAGAAAATGGCACGGAACGAAGAAGAACAAAGAAAGTGAAGAACCAAAGCATATAGTAATGGCTACATTGGAATTCACTAAAGACATACGGAATCACAACTACAAGCAATGGCATAGCCTTTGACATGTAACTTCACACAACAGGATTTCAACACAAACAAGAACAGAGCAATTTATTTAGTACATTAACTGCTCTTTCACACTAACAGAACGTAAACAACAAAGCACAAATAGAGTTAGAATCAATTCCTACGTTTCATCCTTGGCTTCCTTTTCACATGCAAATTCTTCACACGAAAAGCCATGGCAAACCACCTGGATTTTCTTGTAATCACGACATGCCCAATAAACACTCCAACAACAAGGCCGCAGCCATACCCTATCGCCACAACTTTCCAACCGAACTGAAAGGGAGACCCTGAGTGATCTTCTTGCTCTTCATCAAACGACGGCAGCGGCACCAGTCCTGAGGCCTCAGAGTTTCCACACTTGTTTGGCAATGGAATTCCACACAATCCCATGTTGCCCTCGTATGAACTGCTCCCGAAGGTCACCAAATGGTTTGCTGGTGGTATAGGCCCTGCGAGGCTATTGTGAGAGACATTGAAGTACTGAAGGAAATTGAGCCGCGCCAGCACCGGAGGGATCCTTCCCGAAAGCTTATTTCGCGAAAGGTCCAAGGATTCCAATGCTTTTAGGTTTGCCAAGGCCGATGGTATGCCACCCGTGAGATTGTTGTTGGATAGATCGAGAGCATAAAGCCCATTTAGGTCTCCAAGGACTTCTGGAATTTCTCCACCGAAGTTGTTGTTGGCGAAATCTATGAATGAAATATCATCATTGATTTTCTCATAATATCTAGTCACCCCTTTTATTGTTAGATTAGTTGAGAAGATGGCGGTTATAGTCACATCACCGCTTGGGCCTGGATTTTCATATGTTGTCTCCACGTAACGCAAATCCCCAACGCTACTGCTTTTCATGGCCTTCAAATTCTGAATGAAATTAGACGGTAACATTCCAGTGAAGTTATTATAAGATATGACAATTATACGCAACTTTACAAAACCAAGGTCGGTTTGAGGTGCCTTGATTACTCCATGGAATTTATTCGACTCCAACACCAGAATTGCAGCTCTGGAAGAGACTCCAACCAATAGGGGAAAACATCATTGAGCTGATTGTCTTCCACAGAAAGGGATCCAAGCATCTTGCAATTTGCCAGTGATCGTGGCAATTTCCCTCGCAACTGATTATAACTTAAATCTATCAGCCTCAATTGGCTACCCTTTGCAAATTGTGGAATGCTTCCAGAAAAAGAGTTATTTCCGAGATATAAGAACGCCAGCGAATCACTGAAGTTTCCCAAACACGAAGGAAGCTCACCAACCAACTTATTTCCAAGCAACGCAAGGAGCGAAAGGGAACTAAAATTGCAAATGGCAGGTGAAAGCTCCCCTGTCAAGGAATTTTCAGCGAGGCTTATGTAGAACAATGTCTCCCTGCTCATGTTCATCAGCCATGCAGGAATCGGGCCACGAATATGGTTGCCTTCAAGCACCAAATCCTGTATTCTTACTTGATGCCTCAGGAAGTCAGGGAAAGTGCTTAAATTGCAAAAGGACAGTTCTAAAATTATGTATTGTGGAGGAGGTCTGTCTACACTAGGTTTAATGATCAGTGAGAGGTTGCTTTCCGACAGAGATAGCACTGTAAGATTTTTGAGGCGAAGAAACAGATCAAAATCCACCGTGCCACTCAACTCATTTTTAAACAGGTAAAGAGATTCCAAATTTATGAGTTTTGAAAATGATAATGGAATTGGCCCGCTAAAATGATTTGAATCAAGGTCTAATTCAATGAGTTGGGTAAGGTTTCCAATGGAGGAAGGGATTGGACCGGAGAAGTTATTTTCATGAAGGTACAGATATTTGAGTTGGGTAAGGTTTCCAATGGAGAATGGAATCTCCCCGGATAGGCTGCAGTTATAAGCACGCAACTCAATCGAGGAATTCAAATTCCCAATTGATGTAGGTATTTCCCCTGAAAAGCTATTTGATGCAAGGTTCAATACCTTTAAAGCACTGGTTTGGTTAAATTGAGGGAATTCACCAAAGATATTATTTGACTTCAGATTGAGAATTTGTAGGCTAGGCAATTGAAAGAGCTCGACAGGGAACTTACCTTTCAGTCCGCACCCTTTTAGGATGAGAGATGTCAAAGAAGAAAATTTGCGAGTGAAGTAGGCACTGTGGATGATATGTTGACAAAACTCAGAGAAAGTTCTTCTAAGTTTGTCAAGTTTCGAATGAGGCTACCGAAACCAGGTCTTTTGAGTTCCAACAAGCCTTCTCCAGAATTAAAATCATAATTGCGAGACAGATCAAGAGAAGACAAGTGGGATAGTCTTGAAACTTCACATGGGATTTGGCCAGAAAAGGAGGAGTGTGAGAGGTTGAGATAAGTCAGCATAGGAAGATGGCTGATAGCAGTTGGTATTTGAGAGTAATTGAAATCGTTATAAGCAAGGTTAAGCCTCTGAAGGTGAACCAGTGTGAAAAGGCTGCTGTTAGAGTCGATGTTGCCATAGAGAAAGCTGCTGCTCATGTCGAGACTGATCACATGGCCGGTATCTTCGTCGCACTCAACACCGTCCCACAAGCAACAGTTGCTCGTCGTCCGTCCTTGCGCCCATGAAGCAACCTTCGGATAAGCTGAAGGATCACCAGAAGCAGACTTGTTAATGGCAAAGCTTGCCTTAAAATCCAACAAGGATGACCTTTCATGAGCACGGCAAAGTGGGTGCGCGGAACTGAAACGTGAAGTGAACAGGAAATAAGCAAATATGAGAAGACCAACAAAGCGCTCTTTTAACATTATGAAAAAAAAAAAAAAAAAGGATCCTTTGATATGCGATTTGTGCTTTTAAGTTAGAAGTCATTTAAAATAACTAGGATTTTGTTTTTTGTTTTTCATTTTTTGCTTCTGCTTTTCCTTTTCAGATAAGTAAAAATTCTTGCAGAAGTAGAATGTATAAATGTGGCCAAACTAATCCTCATATAATTCTGTTCATTTATTTTTCCCTTTTGGCAATTAGCAAACTACTTTCTGAAGAAGTCGATATGTCACATGTGTCTTTAGCTTCTTTAGATTTTTTCCAATTTCCTTCTAACACCTTATTGGGACAAGTAAAGTAGATGACTGACTGAAAACAAAAAAAAAAAACAAAAACAAAAAAAAGTATTTGAGACGTGTGTGAAAGCCTTTCTTCTTCCCTTAACTACTTTCTTTCAATGCAAACTGGGAAGGAGACTTGCTTTGTGTTGATCTCTCAATATCACTCGGACCTGGAACCAAAGGACTTGCCGTTTTCGTTGAGCTAGGCCTGTGAACTCTTTTGGGAGTTCTAAAGACGAAATAGATGACCGATTCCAATATAAATATGGCCAAGTCACTTTGATAGCTATGACTTTTTTTCCCCCTTTTCAGGGCAATGACTTGACTTGTATAGTGATAAATTCCGATCATATACTCACCTACAAAGATGAAAATATCAATATCAGTCGAAACATCGGTACTCTAGTTTTATAAAAATTTTAAAGAAAATATCGATTAGTGGGAATATAAAAAAGAATTACGAATATTGTAGAAATTTACATTATAACATATTTTTAATATTTTATGATAGCGTAAACATTAAAAGGATATATAAAATAAATAAGTTTGTTATTAAAATACATGTATTATATTTTTTTCTTAATATCAAAAGAAAGTTATGAGATCCAAATGTAATCGGGATCACATCTTGATTCAAATAATATTAGTGTCATGATATGTTATTTGAATAATGTTGACTATAGATATGAATATGTCACATATAGGTTTGTTAATTCCTTCCCATTTTTTTTACATGAATGGGAAACTGTGAATTTTTTCTAATCATTTGCTCGAGATGACAATGGTATGCTAGGATGAAGAAATTGAAAATTACATATCTATCATAATTTCTACAATCATGATTGCGTGGACAATAAATGTGAGGAGCCTTACTTGAGGAGATGCTATAATTAGATCCCAAATTCATTGATCATAAATTCATGGAATAGATTATCTTCGTCAAATGTCTTATGCTTGATATTTCTCACTCAAATGCACTATATACACTCGTGAATGTAGGGGTGGTAATTTGTATCACGTTGTAATGACTGAGAAAATTTCAGACCTTAAATAATACAATTCATGTATTTTTAAGCCAAGGATTTTCTTAGAAAATATTATGTTATATTGTGAATGGAGGATTTATGGAATTAATATATGTATTCCTAAATTCCATAGCAAATTTCATGTTAAGTTCATGTTTCGATCAAGTAAATTCGATCGATAAATTCTCGCCGTATTTTAAGGCAGAATAATTTTCAGTACAAGTATAGTTTGAGAATCTTAATTTCAAGAATCTCTAAGCACAGCACGATGTTAGCGGCATATAAAAAAAAACGCACTGACATTTTAAAAGAAGAAAAAAATCCTTAATTGCCAAACAGTTAGGTTAAAGTCACAAGATAAATACCTATAGTAGATGGATACAATATGAGCTCGGGAGTTGACACTGTCAGAAACGTCATTCTTGGGATAGAATACAGAAAATTAAAATTTAGAATTTGTTCAGTCTAAAATTAATTTCAAGACTTGAAACAGTTTGAAATATTACGCGAGTAAGAATATAAAACATTATTGAATTATTCAGAAATTGATATTGGACTGTAAGTAGTAGATTAACTTACGTGAGCTAAACTAATTACCTCTAATCAGTATAAATTTAATCTGTTTAGAGGAAATAATTGAGGATAAGATCAGGCACGTAATCTTGCCTTAATCAGATACTTTATATAGTGAAATCTTTCTTTCTCTTATTCTCGCTCATTCTCTCTCCTCTCACGTTTTCTCTCACACAAACCATCAATGGCCAAATACTCAAGTTAAGATTCCGACCTCCATTTTTGACACCACCGGTGTCAATAGAAAGATCTCGACGAGCTGAGTTCAACGACATGCGGCACGACCTCCAACCCCGCCGGAATCAGCCGCAATCGCCGGCGGAAGTTTCGAAATTCCCTTTTCTTCCCGTCGTGATATCTCCGCCATCCGACCTCCGATTGAGATGATTTCAGTCCCTATGGACTCAGTGCAGCGAGACGAAGAAAACCCATCCATTTTCACAGCTCGATTCTGGCCGGAGCACCGCCGTCCGTGGTGGTCGGAATCGCCGCCGCCGTCGCCGTCGTTTCTCTCTCTCCAGGCCGTCGTGGATGTCCCCGCCCCCACCAATCAACTCAGAAGCCGACGTCCAGTAGATCCCGACCAGTAGCCACCGTCGCCGTCGCAGTTTGGCCGGAAAACGGAGCCACTACCGTCGTCCGTGGAGGGAAGAGGTGGTTCCGACGATCTAACCGTTGGAGCGTAGTGAATTTGGTGTCACAACACTCAGAAGGAAACGGGTAAGAAAACCCCTCATCCAATTTTAAGAATTGATGACCGGAATTGTGAGATTTGAGTCGTCAGATTTTACCGA